ATTTATTATAAATCATCTGCTACTAAAATATTGGAAGAAATTTTATATATTATTATATCTTTATATATTATTCTTCTAATATTCATTGTTGACATGCTTGAATAAATTTAATGTTATTATATTTAAAATTTCTGGTAATAAAAAAATATGGAATTTAAAAATGCGATGCATCTATTTTTTTATTGTTTATTACTTAGATATAATGCACATTTTCGTATTGGCTGAATTAGATGCTTATTAATCCTTTAATACTTAATGCTAAATCTAAATTTACAATAATTATGCTGGGGCTGTATTAATATATAATAACGTCACTTGTCATTTATGACTTAACTATTCGGACAATAGAAATGTGCAGCGCATATTGATAATATTGGCGAATATAATTATAGATGTTAATATTGGCTTTCATTTTGCATCAATAGCACAGTTACAGGATGTAATACTGTGCGATATGATTACCATATTTAAATAACATATAATTCCTTCCTTTGTTTACGCACGTATGACGTGAATATAGGAGAATTTTTTGAGGAATTTTACGAGAGTCTCTCTTCAAAGTCCACGATTTTCTACGCTACTCTTCGTGTCTCCATTCTTTCGCGAGACGTGGATAAGAACGATATTAGATTTACCCGAGAAGCGGACCTTTTCATGTAACCTATGCCCGGAAAAACTCGCGCGGAAAGCGATAAACGACGCGTCACAGCGTGTTTCGCAATATCAATCCGATCGTCGTGAGCGAGATGCGCGCGAAATATATTTCTGGAAATAGATTATCGGTTCAGCGACGCAGAAGGTAAAAACGCTGAAGCATGTTGTCACGAATGCGACCCCACATTCCGTTTAAATGGGATAAAATACCAAATACGCGATTCAACAAACTACATTCAATGTTAGTGTAAAATGTATGCTTATAATGTTTTTATTTATCGCGAATAAATCACTGTGCACGATTTTATCACGTTGGTACAGATATTTATTTCTCAAAATCGCGAGAATGATGTATGTATCGCAAGATCTATTGGAATATCTTTTTTTTTTTTTCAATTTTTATATGATATACGCCGAGGCACTAAGGCTCAAAAATTACATTGTACCATAAGGAACTCTTGATAAATTCGAATACGAATATTGAAAAGCGAATATGAGTCAACGACAAAGAGACTTTTACAAGGATACACTTTCATATATCGTACGGTAAGAAATTTCCGTATATTCCGATAATCCATTCCTTCGTCGTCACGTAGAAAACGTGCACTGACGTTACCATATACGCGACCGTGTCCCTAATGGAAAGTTTTCTTTTTCCTTTCTACTGTATTTTTCGTCGTTGGGACGCATCGTATCCTCCCTCGAATTTCATCACGACGTATCTCGTATTTTGCGCGCTTTCCCATGTACATATACATGAACGTCCGCAAAACTCCGCGCCGTGATATCGGTTTCTTTCCGGAATCTAAAAATCCCTGATTCGTTTCGCCTGGTACATTGTCGTTCGTCAAGCTACAGTAAAATCCCTTATCTGGTTTTCCGACCGCGTTTTAAGGTATCAAAATAGCTTCCATAGATTGCGCTCCTTTCATGATGTTCGCCACGGGAGAAGTTATAAAGAGCGTATGCTTTACATGCCATAAAATTTAGAGCTAGCATAATATATGAGACATAGATAAAAGGTGTAAAATTCGAGCAGTTCAAAGTTGAGATTTCAAAGTTTTCCGGATAATAACAATTAGCATTATTAACAATGTATTCGTATATTACATTAAAAAGGTTTCCATTAACCGCGACAGATATTATTTAACATAAAATTATATGAAAAACTTGCACTATTTATTTATAAAGTACGTTAAGACATATCTGAAAATTATTGAGGTAGATAGAAAATTATAGAGATAGATAGAAAATTACTGAGATAAGATATAAAAAAAATATATATATATATGAAAATTAATGCGAGCTTATTTTATCTCTTATGATTAATATAAATTCCTAACGGAAGATTATTGAAAAAAAAATTGACAAGAGAGAGACAAATAATTTAATGCTCGCGGAAATAGCTTCTCTTATTTATAAATACCGGATTACAATTAGTAGAATTAAAGATTAGTAAACATATAAATAATAATACGTAACATAAGAAAATATATAATAACAAAATAAATATAATAACAAAATAAATTGGATTAAATCTAAAATTCAGAATTAACAGAATAAGATTGGAATAAACTGAAATATCATATGCTATTAAAACTGGTTCCGAATTTTTTATACATAAGCAAAGTAAACATGAATAAAAATGTTGTAATAACAAGTCATTGATATTGGCTTTTAATTTATTTAAAAAATATTTGAAAGCGTATTTTTTTATTCCAAACTGCTGCCAATTGAAGACTGGGATATCAAAAAGACGTTCGAATCAATTGTTGTCGATATTCTCAGTAATCATATTATAATTTAATATTTTTTCCCAAGAATTTTTTATTAATCAAGTTTGGTTTAAAATATACAATTATCATTAATAAATACATATGTTTGTTGTGATATCGCGTTCGGTACTTTGTTGCGTACATACACTATGTTATAAATGTTGTGAATTATTGTCTTTATCGCGTATGTACCGTGAGAGGTCACCCCACATATCATTTTCGATACAATTTCGATTTGAAGACTCGACTTCTCGTTAAGATTCGCACGGATCCGTAACACGAAGAAGCTCGAAAAACGTGAAATGAGTCGCATTGATCCTTGTATTTATACTTAAGAGCACCAATCGCACCAATCAGGGGTGCTTTCAAATCGCGTGCCATCCTCATCGCACCGTCTCCGAGGCGTCGAGCGCGGTGCGCTTTGTAACATATTTTCGCGAGATTAAAGATGCCGCGCTTCTTTATCTCGCGACCGAAATCTTGTTTGGCGGTAACATTGATATTGCCGCATTGGTTCGTCGCAACAATGTTTAAGAAAGGCCATTTTACTATATATTATTCCGAAACAACTTTGTGCTACAGTTTATATAAGATTTTGCATAAAATTTATTATTTCTCAAGATTGCACAACTTCTATTTTTCATTCGCTAAGGTAAAATTAAAATTAAATCATCTGCATGCACCGAATAAATTTACTCTCCAGCCGCTGTATTGCCGTCAGCTGTTTCATCTTTTGCGCCAACTTCTACTTCAGACTCTTCTACCTCACAAACAAATATAAATATTGAAAAATACACGCGTAGTGTAAGCACACATGTGATTTTATATTATTTATATTATTACGATCGTATTATTGTGATATCGCGTCCGGTACTTTTGACGTTTATTTTCACGTTCGATTAGCAAATAAAAACGCGCGAAACGTATGCAATACGGTATGATTTGAGTATTTCCAACGTAAAATACAAAAAACGAAACTAAAACCGTTGCAAACATTTTCTTTTCATAATAGAATATGATATATATATTGTGTTGACATTTTCTTTTCGTAATACAATATGATATATTTATAAAATTCTATATTTTTAAAATCGAAGTTTGGAGTTTTTTTTATCATATTTTTACGTAATATGATTTTTATTTGTACCCTTGGACCAGTTATTGCCTATATATTCTAAAATTTGGTTCAAAATACGTACGTACTCTATATGTACGCGCCGGTCATTTGGAATGTACGGCAATATGCCAACGTGAAATACGATCGCGCACACAGCGAAACACGCTAAGCGATCGCACGGTACTTCATTCGGCACTCTCGATATTGACTTGCACACGCGAGTCGCTTTTTACTTACGTAAAAGAAAGCGATCTATAAATACGAGTAAGTAACACGGAGAACCGTGGGTTAATGCTACTTTGATTACTTAGGAGCAGCAAAAATCAAACGACAATTTAGTGATATGATAATTTTATATAAAACAAGGTTTCAGTAAATAAACATTAAATCTTAATTTAATTATAATTATATAAGCAGTAATGAAAAATTAATATTAAAATATCCCAATTTTTGTAGAAGATGTTACTCTGTTATTTTAAATTAAATACAGTGAATATAGGAATTTATTTATTAACAAGTCTTATTGCTAAATCGTAATTTAATAAAATTGCAATGACATAAGATTCTATCTATTTATTAAGAGTATATTACATTTATTTTCATTTACAATAAAAAAATTATGAAAAAGTTATAAATTATTTTAAATTACATTTAAAAATAATTAAAAATTTTGATGATTTAGAATGGGTTAAAAATTATTTAAATATAAAATAAACACGTACTTTAATAGAAATGTAATTAAGAAATAATGATAAAAATCTCAATTTTTTTTTATATGAGTACTTTAAATATTTAAGATAGTTTGTATAGAGTTTTATTACCATACAGAAATTAGTTCTTCTATAAATAAGAATTAAACTTTTATTTACAGATTAACTAATCTCTGTATTGTAATAAAACTTCATGTAAATAATCTTGAATATTTAACGTATATATATATATATATATATATACTAAAGTTTAAAGTATATATATACAAAAATTGAGATTTTTATCATTATTTTGTAATTACATTGATATTAAAGCATGTTTCCACTTTATATTTAAATAATTTTTGATCCAGATCCTAAACCATCGCTAAACTTTTATATTAAATTTAGAATAAGCTGTAAGTTTTTCATTGTGTAGAATAAAAATATAAAAAATTTGTAATACGTCCTTAACTCTAAATAATTTATTTATTACAAACAAGATCTAATTACTAACAAACTACTGCCACAGGTCTTAATAACATATTATTAATTCATTTGTAATTTACTGTTGATTCCCTTATACGCGAGGCTCCGTATACGAGGATACGCACGATAATGCGAGCATATGGTCAATCATTGAGTATCTGACTGCTTGCGCGGAGGCTAACGCTGATTGGTCCGTCGTCGCCGGTCGGCTAACGCGGCTCGTGGCTTTCGGCTCGCCGAGCTCGAGTCGGCTCGCTCAGTCGTACTCGAACCGCGCATCGGACAGGGTGGTGTGCTACCCTCTCTCGCGATTCCGTCGCTCCGTTGTGTGCGTGTGCGCATACGTCAGCTCGCCACGCGAGATACACCACGTTGTACATCCCCGAACGTTGTGCTTTGAATACGTTGACAGACAGGCGTGAAAACTCGAGAGTGTGTTCACACACAGAGGATAGTTTAAATTGCCGCGACCTCCAAAACGCGTCACGATTTTAAATCGTCGCGCTTTAATCTCGCGACGGAAACCGAGACGGAATATATCCGAGATCGCCGCCGATGCGTTTCTTAATCATAAATTATTCGTCGAAACGCAGAGATCGATTGACGTGCGACACGATCCGTGTAATCACGCGCCGCTTCGAGCTGTCACGCGAGACCGTCGCGCATTTAAATGGAGCAGCGTGGTGAAACTGTCGTCGCCGAGACTTGACGCAACTCTCGTCCTCGACATTCTCCGCCGTGTGAAACGCTCGTGCGAATGAAAAATCCGATAGAGAAGGATCGTTTTCCATTCGGGAGGAACATCGCGGCGACGGAAAGGACGACGAAAGGCGAAAAGGGTCCACTTGACCCCCGCGAGATCGTACGCGGCACGAACGCGCGCGTTCTCTTTCAAAAGACGATCGCACGAACGCATCATCCGCGCGTCGACGTTTGCCAATTGAGTGTACTTCGATCGACGCTCAAAGGGATATATTGGGCGGAGTTGGGTGCTCCAACCAAAACGATGCCAGAACGCCTGTAATTCGCGCCCGTGCAGATGTCCTCTCGCGCGTATGAGAGGGATCCTTTTCAGCGGATGTGCGGGAGAGATAGATCGTCTTCGACGTAATCTGGCGTTGACGTGACCTAGCCTAACTTTTGCTCGGTGCCGAACTCCATCTGGTCTTCCACCCCCTTCATCCCTCGGGCTTATCGTGTGTGAGAGAGAGAGGAGAGTGTGCGCGCGCGACCGTCCTTCCAAACTCCCGTCGGATGGGGTGTAACTTGGTGCATTAGCTGAGGGTGAGTAATATATCATACAACATTTATAACATTTTGAAGCAGTCCGCCCAAGAAATTATCAGTCGGTGGTTCATCTACAGGAGAAATGTCCGAGAATGCGAGGCGTGATATAATAATGTCACGACATTGCCGAAAATTGCAATTTGAAACCATTTTAATTAAATCTTGGATCGCACGTGTGCATGTGTGTATTATTCAATTCGCTAGAGAATTTTTTTCACGATTAATTTTTTAAAGCGGTTTGAAATTTTGATTAACGTCGTCCATTTCGGATTCATTTTATTTTGTTGCAAATTGGATTTTGGCGGAAAAGGGAAGAGTTTGCAGATGGTGTAGCGCATATTGTGTTGCGACATGAGAACATTTGTTTAATTTAGAATAAAGAGAAACAAGGTCAAAATCAAGTTAATGTAAACTAGAAGAACGTTATATAAAAATTAAAATAACTGCTTTTATCTCACAATGTAATATTATGGCGTATTTATCATGCCATATTCATCTTTTCTTTATAATATTTTTTATAGTTATTTTATATCATTTATAATACGAAAAATCGCAGCATTTTGTGAAGTTAGCTTATTGGATGCTTATCGTACAACGCGTGCTAAATTATAAAATACTGCTCCGGAATCCTGCGATTTATTTATCCGGTACATATAATTTTCCAATAGATCTAAAAGGCATAGAATATGCGTCATATGTAGAAATATAGTCTCTAGGTCTTTTATCTCGAACATCTATGAATATTCAATTATACTTGTCACGATGTACATCGGACATGAATATTTAATCATCATTAAAGAAGGATATCAGCGTCATAGAGAGTTTTGAACTAGTAAATACATTTTTAGCTATTACTTATACTTTCTCAATTACGAGATTTCTCGGAGTTGATCTGTATATAATTTGATTAAGTTGCAGTCTCATCACCTTGTATATTTCTGAAATGGCATGTTTGAAATATTCATCTTTACCCCTTAACTATTCCTTTTATTTTAATATTTTCTTTGAGATAAAAGAAAAGAGGAAATATAAGACAAATATAATAGGAATATAGAATTTCTTATATATTAATAGTATAGCAGTCAGTCAATAAATCGTGTATATTTTTAAATTTATATCTGTCTATATCTTAAGATAATATAGATTAATATATACCTTAATAAATATAATATAATTATAAAATAAATTTAAAGATATAAATTTAAAAATACATGATTATTAAACGATAATTGTATTTCGTAACAATATTATTAAGGATTAAGATAATACAATATTACTAAGGATTAAAATAAAATACTTTTTTATATTTTACTACCTAAAGTGCTTTAGCAGAATTTTTATTTATTAATCAAAGAATCATATTTTTCACTTTATTTTTACATGACATTAACATTAACGTAGATAAATTTAAATGCGAAAGTTATCTTTAACATGATTTAATTGCAAAATGATATGATTATTGTATATTTTAAACTAATTTTAGGTTACTCAAATTTGATGATACGTAGTTTAAATAATATCAGCTTATAAAGAATACGTAACCATAATACGATACAATTTCATTTCGAATTCGTCTACATGTAAAATTCCGAGAGACGAAATACGATATTCGAAACGTCTAGACACGGCAAAGGGTTAAATCGTGCGGAGATTAATTGCGTCCGCAAAGGACACCGCTCGAGAGTGCAAAAAGTCGCAGTCGCCAGAGAAATAATATATCCGCCCGCACTTTAAAGGTTCGCCGAACCTCGGTGGATCCGTATTTTGTGGGTACATGGCACCGAAAATAGTCGGTCGTTTTGGAACGTCTTTCTGCGCGCCGTTTAAGAGTAGCCCGACGGAGAGAGAGATGAGGAGGGCTGGCGCTAATTGGTTAATGTCCGTCATTACTATACTCCCCGGCGCGGGAGGCGAAGAGAATTAAAACCGGCTATCAACTGGCAAGGAGGAAGAAACGAGGGGGAAAAAAGATCTCCTCCGTGATCTTTTTAGTGAGGTTGTTTCGGTTTCATTTGCACAGCCGCTTAGGGATGTAAAAGATATATCATTGTGTGTCTCGTGCAAAAAGAAATATTCTTTCTTATTCATTAGAATAGACGCGAAACAATTATGAAGCCGGTGAAATTACATTTGCGGCTTTGATGTTAATCGCACGTGCGTTCTTTCCCGCATGATCGTCGAATTTGCTCGTCTAGAGGTCTCGTTAAGGTCATGCAAGGAACCTTATCGCGAATACATCCCCCGACTTCGAAGCACGAGATCCCGCAATTAGCAGTAGTCGACGTTTACTTTGGCGACAAAGGGAATCGTCTTTCTCCATTATTCGAAGGGAAAAAAGAAACGCGGCGGATCCCGGGGAAAATCCCTTTTCCATTGCATTTGTAATTAACTTTAATTTCTAAAACATGCTTAACGTAATTTTATGAGACATTTTGGAATTGGCTATATTAAAATTAACGAAAGCCGTAATTACCTCCAATAGACGTTTACGTATAGTGCATTATTAAATTTCATTTGTAGAACTTACCTATGTTGAACTACGTTAATTAATTTCTACAAGCAATTTTGTAATTTACGTAATACGAGTAAATCGATGATCAGCTTACCGAGAGTTCCATTGTTTGGATTGTACGCGTATTTACTGAATATTACAGTAATTACGCTTTTATATGCCGGGATGGACTTAATACGCGTGCATGCAAAATGTATGCGGCGGAATTCAAAATTGCGGTTTTCCACGAGTTAACTGAAGATTACGAATGATAGCAGATAATGAGAGCAGAAAAATAATGTTCTCCTTATATAAAAAAATATATATATATATATATATAAAAATATATAAAAACCGTATTTCATGATATGATTATGATCCCACTGCTGTATCATAAATATCACGCGTTGTACTTATCATAACGTATTGCGCCTGGAAGTCTTTGAAATTTTTGCAGTATGTTACCTCTCGATATTTTCTACACGTGATTACAAATATAAACCATCGTTATCGAGTCAGGCTTCGAATTCTGCGTATAAGCTCACGATTCTGGGCGATTGGCAACCGTGATTTGATTCTCACACATAGAAAGTATGAGAAATTGAAAGATTCCAGATAGCGCGCCGTGGTGCTCGCCACCGACATGTAAGTTCGTAGTCACGTGAGGCCGAATGACTAACATTCTCATCTTTACTACACGGGAATACACTTATGCGCCGGGGCATTCATTTTCCGCTATCGTGAGCCGTGCTTCTCGCGCAAGTGACTCGCAAGATTGAAAAATTCTAGATAAGAAGATGTTAAACTGCATCCTCCCAGCCTTGGAGTGATCACAGGAGCGACCACGTGACTTTTTCTCTGTTAATCCAATCTTAGATGACGTGAAGTTAGAACGCCCGTATCAATAACTTCTCGACAAATTTTCTTCACTGAGATATCGATTCTAGTTTATCCTGATCCGAATTGAAGTCTCATAAATTATGTTTTACTTTACATGCAAAAGGGAAGCGGAAAATACAACGTGCAGCTGTGATAGGGATTTATATTTCTCAGTATGCGCGAATAGTAACTTCAGTCATAAGCGCAAGATGGCTGTGAATTGATTAATTAAGAAGCGTGTAAACGTGACTAATTAACAGTCGTTTATTTGATAGTTTAAATAAATGACCGTTTTACATTTTATTCATTACAACCGACCACTCGCGATGACGCGAATAAAATTTCATGTATTATCATGACTATATGGTTCATAGTCGGCGAATATTTTGGCCAATAACATTGCTCTTTATAAGAATGACATCAAATATAAATCCATCGTATTTATGGAAAATTAATAGCATTCCGACATCAGAAGGATGGAATGCGAAGTTGTGAATTCCTTTCCCGTGTTTTCCGCTCCCAATGTGAATTTATTCGCCGCGTAGCCATGTTTAATTCGTCGGTAATTACACCCACACTCGTACATTCTTCGCTTTGAAATTTCATCGTAAACGCACAGCCATCCGCGAAACAATTTCATATTTTCAATGTTAAACTCAGAGTGAATACCAATATCGCGAAAATTTCTCGCGACGTACCGTTGCCCCGGCATTGCCCCGACGATCCATTTGCATAGTACGACCGCCAGCGCAGCGGCATTTTCGCGCGCGACGTTTTTATTAGGCCGCTGCAGCCAGCGGGGAATTTCTTTTCCGCCGTTTTGCGAGATCCCGAATTGCTGCGTGCGCTGCATTCGCGAATCCAGCGGCATTCGTTTCCGCGAGGCACAAAGCGAAAGACTTCTGTCGTGGTTGACGTCATTAGCGTGCGCCATTGTCGGTAGACGGCTACATTTACAGCTGGCCACGTGAAAGCCGACGGCAACCTGTGTACATTTCAACGGCGAGTGCACTTAAAATTCCCATTTACTTGCTGCACGCAGCCATTCGTATCGGCGCGAACGCATCCTCGCACGAAGGGGGTTGGCCGACCGAGAGAAACTCACCATCATTGTTGCGCCATTTACGAGTGAAGAGGAACACACGTGCAAAAATGTTCTGCGGTATAATGGTGATACTTGACCGAAATACTGGGAAAAAATTTTCACTGAAGATATTACTAAGAACAGATATTGCTAGCAGCATTTCTTTGAAAATTGAAAAATTTATGTTTAGTTATTGGCAGTAATTTCGAGTAAATGCTATACTCATCTTTGTAATTACGCGTTACAGCAACATCTCTTTTACTTTATTTTGACTAAAATTTATTTTCCTTTTATTTTGAATAGAGCAAACATTAAAATTTTAGAGCGCAAATATTATTTCACCGAGTATTTTTGAACACTAGAAAAAACGATCAAACTTTGCAAACTTTTTGCGTACACGAATTACGATTGCAAAGTCGATAAGAATTCCGTCTGTTTTTTTTATACTACTTTGTCCCTGCATTAAGTTCCTTATGCGCCTTGCCAGATCTCGTTAACTTGGGTTCCCATTACGAGGGTGGTGTATAACGACCTAGGAAAAGT